TATATACGTATATACGTATATATATATATGTATATATATATATGTGTATATATATATATGATATGTATGTGTACAAAGGAGGCCATGAAGGGATTCGGAGGTCCTCTGAGCCTTCCCTCCGAGGCTGTCGTCGCCAAGGCTCCCCAGAGAAGAAGGAGATGAAGGCTAACATTTCAGCCACCTCGCTTTGGGCGGAAAGCTTGGGCCGTGTGTCCTACGGATTCTACGGGGCCTTTTGGGGCCGTTCTGGACTCCCACTCTTCCCAGACTCTTCGAAGCTATCTTAGGAATCCTTCAGCGCACCTCAAGGAGCCCTTAAAGGAGCCTTGGTGGCGAGTTCTTTGGTGAAACACAGGGTACACGGTCAAACTAACTTCGGGCCTCAGGGTCTTCTGCAAAAACGGTGCTTCCGACGACATAGGATGCATTTATCCTGGGCCTATGTTAAAGGAAACTACAGGTGGGGAGTTTAGGGTATATAGGGCTTCTATAAGGCTTCCATAAGGTATATAGACCTTCTATAAAGCTCCTATAACGGTAACTACCCACCTGAAAAAGTCCTAGACTTTAGGGCCCGATGCCAAACCCATGGCTATGTCTTTAGAGGCCTTAACCCTCGAATCTGTTCTGCAAGTACTTGGAAAGCCCTCAACCTTAAACCCTACACCCTTAACCCCTAAACCCGACACCCCTAAACCTTAAACCTATACACCCTTAACCCCTAAACCCTAAACCCTACACCCTTAACCCCTAACCCTACACCCCTAAACCCTAAACCCTTGACCCCTAAACCCTACCCCATTTACCCTTAAACCCTACACCCTGAAGACCAACAGTTCCAAGCGCTTTTTGTGTTTAGGGCTGGGCTCGGCAAAGGCTGGGGTCTATAGGGTTTAGGGTGTAGAGAGCTTTTCAAACAGGGTTGACAGTTTATAGGGTTCAAGTATATGGGTTTAGGGTTTAGGGCTTAGGGTTTAGAGTTTATAGGGCTTTTTGAGTTTAGGGATTAGAGCTGCACGTTGTCAGGATTTCGTGCGGTTTTTCGATACAGAAGCCCCATCAGAAGCACAACTTGACACAGGCAACACGCGCTCCGGAATCCCAAACTCTCATCAACCCAAACCCTAAACCTCAACCACGAGCTGGAACTGAAAGCCCTGATCTTGAGGCCCTGAAACCCTGAAACCCAAGCCCTAAACCACCAGCCCTGACTTTATCGACACCACTGTCCCGAGACCCAGCCGCAGACCGCAATCAAACCCTATAGCCCAGTGAGGGGTTGAGGATTTATAGGGCCTATAATAGGGCTTAGAGTTCAGATGCGTTTTGGGTTGAAGGTCTGCAAACCCTACCAGACGCTAAACCCTAAACTCCATAAACCCTATAA